ATTTGGTCCCACAGCCACGTGCGGCCTTCTCAGTTCTGGGCATGTGTTGGTCACACAGCCCAGCGCAGACCAATTCTGGTCTGCGTGGCCTGGGGTTGAGTTCTGGGGCCCCGACTACTTCTGAACAGGGTTACTACATTCCTGCCGTCCCATTTTCGAGTTCCACCTCAAAAATAATTAAGACTTTAACCCTCGTTCATGAGCAGCAATGATGTCAGGAACAGTCTCAAGTAGTTCCTTCTTGTTGAACCATCGGTCCTCTGATGGTTGTTGAGATTTGAAACGTACCTTGAACTGCTTCTGAGGACGTCCTCGTGCTCCTGTAGAAAAGAACCCGTGTTCTATGATTCTGTCGAGTTCATAGCTTCCTTCCATTGATGGTGGAATCATAGAGGGTCTGTTAGGAAAATCATTTCCTTCTACATAAGGCAATAGTTTGGACGCATGAAAGACAGGATAAGTCTCAAGATGAGGGGGAATATCAATGCGATAAGACGGTCCCTCAGCATCCCCAATGACTTTGAGAACTTCCCAGGGTCCAAAATAGACAGGCAGGAGTTTCTGAGACAAATGTTCTTCTAGTGAAAACTCCTTAGACTTGACCCAAACTAAATCACCTACCTTGAATGTCGATGGTCGGCGATGCTTATTAGCTTGGTCTATCATTTGTTCTTGAGCTTTCTTTAGGTTCTCTTTCACTTTCTTAATGATTCTTGAAACAATACTGCATATTCACGAGTCCCTGGCGGTAACCTGAGAAATTGGTCCCGTGTTAATACATCAATGGGACGCCTCGGTTTCCACCCCTTGTGCAGTGCATTAGGTGTACGTCCAGTTGCAGTATGAACACTGCTATTATATGCACTGGCTATTTTGGGTAAGTTCTCGTCCCACTCGATTTGATCGGGTCTTACGTACATACGCAAGAGTTGTTGGCACAAGCGGTTCATCTGCTCACTTTGCCCATTCGTTTCAGGGTGTCGCCCTGACAACATGGTCAAACGAGTACCGTATGCCTCCATCAGCTTTTGCCATGGCATACTTATGAATCTCGCATCTCGATCAGACACAATAGATAAGGGAAACCCATATTCAGCCACCCATCGCATCTGAAATTTCTGAATCACAAGTTTAGTCCGTGCTTCCGCAGGTAAGGAAACAAACATAGCATACTTAGAGAAACGGTCAACAATAACCATCACCTGACTATTGTCATTGCGGCTCTTTGTGAAACTCATGAAGTCCATTGAGATAGACTCACCTGGTTTACTTGGAATCGGTAATGGTCTCAGTAGACCAAGAGGGTTCTCGTGTGAAGGTTTGTTTCTCTGGCACACCAGACAGGTACGAATGTAGGTTAGTACATCTTCCTTCAGTCCCTTCCACTCAAAGCATTCTCTGACCTCAGCGTAAGTTTTATTGAACCCAAAGTGTCCCTCAAAGTCGTGACATTCTCCAATCACCAGACTTTTAATCTCCTCTTTGCGAGGGATACATTGTCTTTGTTCAGTTTGGTCAATCAAGAATAGCAAACCATCGGCTATTTTGTAGTTGGGAAGTAGAGATGGGTCTTTGACAATAGTGTCAAGGATAGGCTTCCAGATAGGATCACTAGCATACCCTTGGCGAATCTTCTCCTTCAAATCACTCCCCACATCCAAATAAAAGACAATAGTCCCGAAGAAGTCACTTCGCCTGGACAATGCATCTGCAACCACGTCAGACTTTCCTTTGATTGTTTTCAGTTCAAAGTCAAAGGTATCAAGAAAAGCAAACCATCGTACCAGTTTGTCAGAGAGCTTAGGTTGTGTCTTTATCCACTGCAAGGTAGAGTAGTCTGAGTACACAATGAAGTGCCTCCCTAACAAGTAGCGCTTCCAGGTTTTCAAAGCACAGACCAAGGCATACAATTCCCTTTCATATGTGGAGTTGGCAACTTTTTCATTGGGCAAACGAGCAGACATAAATTCGACTGGTCTGTAACCTTTGCCATCGTCCTGTTGAAGGACTGCGCCAATTCCATACTCACTTGCGTCAGTTGTAAGAGTAAAGGGAAGAGATGGGTCAGCAATTTTCATAACAAGATAGTGGGTCAATGCATACTTTAGTTTCTTAAATGCAGACTCGCAGTCCTTATCCCACAACCATACCGTTCCTTTGTTTAGCAATTTCCTAATTGGTGCAGCGATCAGTGAGAAGTTCCTAACAACTTCCTATAGTAACTTGCCAAACCAAGGAAAGAGCGTAATTCGGTGATAGACTTAGGTTGTGGCCAATCTCTAATTGTTGATATCTTCTTTTCCTAAGGCCTTAGACCATCTTCATTCACTATATGCCCTAGGTATAGGACTTCCGACTTAGCGAACTCAGATTTCTTCGGGTTCAGTTTGAAGTTACCTTCACGCAACTTCCCCAATACAAGACGTAGGTGTTTCTCATTATCTTCTAATGTTTTACTATACATTACAATATCATCAAGATACACAATGACGAACTGGTCCAACCATTGACGGAATAATTCATTCATGGACCTTTGGAAGGTCGCTGGGGCATTTGTCAGTCCGAAAGGCATTACCACGAACTCGTAGTGACCATACCTTGTTCGGAAAGCAGTCTTGTGTTGATTTGCGGGATCCACCTCGATCTGGTGGTATCCAGACTTTAGATCAATGTTGCTGAAGTACTTGCAGCCCTGCAACTGGTCCAACAAGTCGTCAATACGCGGTAGGGGTTCGACATTTTTGACAGTGACAGAATTCAGCCCTCTATAATCAATGCAAAGACGTAACTCACCTTCCTTTTTAGGCACAAACAAGACAAGAGCGCCTTAAGGAGAAGAGCTAGGGCGAATCCATCCTTTCTCAGTTAAGTCTTGTAGTTGTTTCCTCAGTTCCTCAAGTTCCCTAGGAGACATTCTATAAATAGGGCCCTTGGGAGTCTTACTGCCAGGAATGATCTTAATAGTGTGCTTTATAGTACGCTCAGTGGTTCTTGTCGGTTCCATTGACAAATCTTTATACTCGTTTAGGAGTTTTTCAATCGATGGAGGATAGGAAGTAGAGGACTCACAAACTTGTTTCACTAGGACCATCATTACTTCCTGTTCCAATTTCTTCTTTGCACCCATCGAACGAAAGGTTGGGTAACTCATGCAACAAAAAGACAAACTTGAGTCAGAGCCAGATTTATGATACAATTTGATGGCTTTCAGTTCTGACTGTGCGTCCCGCAATTGCACAACCTTATCTTTGAACTTGATGTCTCCTCGTGCCAATCCATACCCAGAATCATGTCAAACGGTAAGTTCTTCTCAACAAGAAAAAAAAATTCATGCATAATCTTCTTTCCGTCCCTCGTACGGAAACGACACTTTACATGATCAATATATTGTGAGACAGTGATCGTGCTTTTGTCTGCCAGGATAGACGTGATAGGTCGAGACAAGTTCTTTACCTTCATTCCGAGATGCAATTTGCGGGTTGCTTTCTCGGATATGTAGGACCGTGTAGATCCTGAGTCTAATCGTGCACCCGTGCGTGCGTATGTGATTTCTACATCCGCGAGTAATAATTCACCATTACACTTTGATTTCTTAGCCCACGAGCTTCGTAATGCTAGCAACTCGTTACCAAGCTCGTCAAGGGAGTCGTCCAGAGAGACAGAACATAAAACAGGTTTAGGGTTTTCTGGACGACGGGCTGGAGAAGAACCATCCTCTGCCATGTGAGTCGAAGGGTTGAAAGGGTTAGTAGGCCCCTTACCTCTCTCATCATCTAAACCCTTCAACTCAGTAGGAGCAAATGCTACTCCTACTGGCGGCTCGCTTTTGGGTTCCGGATTAACGGGCACCATGCAATCACATGCCCCGCAGTTCCACATTTTAGGCACTGCGCATTGTCCATTCGTTCTTGCCAAGTCTTTTGGTCCATATCCATCTTCTCCCAGGGCTTACCGTCCGCAATACAGGGATGCTCCGGGAACGAGCGCGGTCTCCTCCTTTTTCCTGGCGGTTGTGGTCCTCCCTTATTGACCACGGCAGCAGTGACGTCCCCCTTTTCGGACTCACTGCTGCTCGTCACACCTTCAGCCTCTAATGGCCACCTCTCCACAGTTTCGTCGTCAAAGACGACGAGGGTGTGATCCTGACGCTTTTGGCGCCAGAGTACTCGCTTGCCTGCACCTGCACCACCACCATACTTCACAACAGAAGCATACGTGTTTTTAACCTGAGATGTCATTTGCTCTCTTTGGAGAGCCAAATCACGAAACTGCCTATAATTATATTTGCCAAATTTAGAATCTGCCACGAGCTGTCCCCGGATGGGGTCGGGCAGAGCACGAGAGTATATATACAAGACTTGGTTGTCTTGCAGGTTCAATCCTGGAACCTGCAGCAACCGGTCAACCTCCCGAGACAAGGCTTTCACCGAGGTCCAATGTTTCTGACCAACGTTTGTGAGCTGGTCGAAGGCCTTATTGGTCGTGGTCTTGTCCAAGAAGCGTTCCTTGATCTTTCCAAGGAACTGCTTCAGCGTCATTGTCCCAGCCCAGTCCCCAATGTCATCGAACCCGGCTGCGTTGGCTTCGGCCAAAACCCATTCCTTAGCCTCCCCCCCTAAGCAAGAAGTAGAGAAAGCCACCTGAGATTCAGGCTCAACAGGGGCCGTACCACAGTATGTCTGAATCTCATCAGTCCACAATAGCAATTTTTCGTCCTTCTTATTGCAAAACGTGAAAGGCAATTTCATTTTAACTTTGTCCTTCTTCTTTGGTTTCTCCGGTTGTGCAGGGCCTTCTTTCTTTCCATTTGGAGAACCTGGCGGACTCGACGGTTCCCCTTTCTTTTCTTCGGGTTTCTTTCCTTCTGGTGTCTGTGTTTCTATCTTGAGAGGCTTTATCGCATCTCCCATCAGTTTCTTGGGTTTCTCTTCCTTCTCTTGCTCAACCACTTTGTTCTTTCCTTTGACCAGATTCGTGACAGTCTGTAGGCCTGCGGTAAGCTCATCAAGTCGCATGCCAAACTGATCAAGTTTCACTTCAAGGTGAGCGAGATAATGTATAAGTTGATTCAGAGAAATGGTCTGTTATTCCCCTTCAGTTACCACCACATCTTGTTTGATCTCATCTAATTTTTGTTCTTGCTGTCTATTTCTTTCTTTTTTCTCTTCTGAGTTCCTCTTTCGGTTCTTCTCTCTCTCAAGTGCTTCCTCAAGCTGACGGATATTCTCATCCATGGTTTCCTCAGTCACAGGCACTTCTTTCTTTCCGCTTCCATTAGCAATCTCATTAAACTGATCCATGACATACTTATCAAGCGTCTTATGACACTTGATAAATACCTCCTGAACTTGGAGGACATCAGTGCTCGTCTCAGCTGCCTCGAGAGCAGCATGTGCTGCTTCCAAGTCAAACTGACTCCGGACGTGAGCTTCTGCCTCAGCACCAGAATCATGAAGTTCAGAAATCAGGTTGCCCAAGCGGGCGGTTAATACTGTTTTCCGCTCGGTTATCTGTTGCCTGGTTCGGGGAACAGGTAGCTCCCCAACAGTCTGAGACTCAGAGGATTGAGACATTGTGATGTGCGTTCGCTGCACAATAAACAATTAAATAACAGTAATAAATTCCACAGCCGCACGATTCTACAACAACAAGGTTTATTTGTAACTGAAGGAGAAAAATAAATTCAATTATTTAATTTACTACTAATGTTGTTCTTTCTTGATCTGTGTGATGACGTCCTACACAGCTTCTACAGGTACCACTTCAGGCCGTGTAATCAGATACAACGCACAAGTGAGTACGCACAACACCACAACAAGCAACACAAGGTAAGTATACCAACACCCAACAACAACAACGTGTCAGCAATCTTCTTCTTCCTTGCGTCAATCCTTGTGCTAATGCGTTATAGCACACCGCTCGACAGCTGGCACTACAGTTGTTCAATCAACCATTCAATCAGCCGTACTGTCGTCGTCGTCGGAATGCAGTCTCTCACTTAGGCAACTTCCTGCCTGCCACGTGTCATCCCTGGCATACCAACATAGCAAACTTGCCACGTCAGCGAAATCCAATCAACAAATGCTGGGATGCCACGTCAACAATGTATTCCCTGTCCTTCCCACGTGCCTCATCCACGTGTCGTCTTGTGATACCGTCGTCAAGCCAGCCAATCAAAACAATGCCACGTCAGCCCAAGGAGTAATGCCACGTCAGCAGGTTATCACCACATCAAAAGACAAGTGCGGTAATCCTCTCCTACCACGTCAGCAATAAGCACCTCCAAGAGCCACGTCAGCTCCTGCTTAGGATCTGGTCGCATGTCAGTGACGAACACGACGATACTTGCCACATCAGCAACCAGATCCTGGGACGTGGCACATCTTATGCCACGTCAGCAGACTGTCGCGACCTTCTGTCGCGATCCCGGCTAGTATCCCAACTACCACGTCAGCACGTGTGTCGGGATCGGTATCCTGAATAGTCTTCTCACCAGCAGTCTTCGTCATCATCAACAACACAACTTCCTCCTCATCATCTTGTCACGTGTGCCGGTCTTCAAAGGAGGTAAGTGCCCTGTCTAGACTGCCGCGCGATTATAATCGCGATTGAGCACTTCCTCATACTTACCTGGCGCCACCTGGCGCTTGCACACGTGTATCTTCGTCGTCGTTATCGTCGTCGTAGACAGGAGTACTGCTCCGATACCAAATTGCAATGAACCCAAGTCATGAATACGATTGTCAACAATGCTAGTCCAGAATGTCAAGTCGCTGATAATTTCCAGTAATCGAAGTAGTATCCAGAAAGAAGGAGGTGAGGTAATCATACACAGACGAAGAGGAAGGAGGGAGATGAGACGAAGGAGAGGATGATAAAATGCCCACTCCTTCTCCGGGCTCCTTCCTTGACCGCCACCTCACAATAACCAGTAATCTGAACACATATCGAAGTCTTGTTACAATGTGCCACGTGGCACCCAATCAACCTCTCATCAGCGCTGGAGTAGCATCGACGTGAAGATCCCAGGTA